TACCCACAATCCCTACAGTTATGATCGTATGTGCAGATAGCTGCTGGGGTACGACTGTGACGGAGCGGAGAGATGGTGGGGGTGGGGGAGGGGGGTAGACGGAGGAAATTGCAAACACATTTTTCCTAAATGTGTTCCATGCCGTCATGTTTGCACAGCAATGCTGAGAGTTAAATGTTAGACTGGAGAGATGCACTCAAATATAGACACATCAGAAAACCTTTTCCATCAGCAAAAAGAAAAAATCCAGGATTTGAGAGCCTGAAGTTAAAACTATCTCAACCTTTCTTAGCTTTTTGAACAACSTCAGTTAAACTCTGAGCAGACAGATGAGCTAATGGTGAGGACGAGCAAAACCAAAGCAGAACGCTGCTGTTCTAAAACTTCAACCTGGGCTGGAAGTGCTACAGCTAGTTGCTGCTGCTGCTATTTGTGTTTTCAAATGACTGTAACAGAAAAATGACAACAGTACAAACAGCATTTGCATGATTCATATTATCAAAACAATTTGGACTAGACATTAGCTCATCACTATTTCCATAACAAGTAAGATATTTATTCAAATCCTTTCTACAAAACTCAACTTAAAGTGACCAGATCCACTTGTGGCACTGACAAATTTGGGCCACATAAATCAAACCACAACTACGCCAATTGTGACATTGACAAATTTGGGCCACATAAATCAAACCATAACCAGGCCAGTTGTGGCATTGACAGATTTGGGCCACATAAATCAAACCATAACCAGGCCAGTTGTGGCATTGACAGATTTGGGCCACATAAATCAAACCACAACCAGGCCAGTTGTGGCATTGACAGATTTGGGCCACATAAATCAAATCATAACCAGGCCAGTTGTGGCATTGACAGATTTGGGCCACATACTGTAAATCAAACCACAACCACGCCAATTGTGGCATTGACAAATTTGGGCCACATAAATCAAACCACAACCAGACCAGTTGTGGCATTGACAAATTTGGGCCATATAAATCAAACCACAACCAGACCAGTTGTGGCATTGACAAATTTGGGCCACATAAATCAAACCACAACCAGACCAGTTGTGGCATTGACAAATTTGGGCCACATAAATCAAACCACAACCACGCCACTTGTGACATTGACAAATTTGGGCCACATAAACCAAACCACAACAGGGCCAGTTGTGGCATGCCATAGTAAAAACAGTGCCATCGTTGCCAGACCTGGCCCACATCTGGTCGACAAACCACTTGCCATGCCAGCAGTATCACCTTGACACCAGATATGGCCCACATCTGTCTGCTAAGTGGGTGTTGTTTAATATAAAAACATCATGTTAAAAAGCATCTGACTTTAGTGAATTTAAGAACTAATCAGGATTAAACAAGAGCGTGTTTGAGAGTAAGCGATATCATCTTGACATTCACACACTTTGACTCCGGCCGTCTTTACGTCATATCGTCTCCACATCTCTGAGGGCCCCGTGAGACCCTCTGAAGTGAATCCAGACCCCCGTCCAGCTGAACCCAGAGGTGATGTCATCATCGCCGGTTAAAGGCTGTCCTTCTCTGTCGCTGATAAAATAGCTGGCTCGACGCCGCGGCCACAAAGGTTCTCTGCTACACCAAGCTGCGTGCTCGGTGTTGGATGTGTGACACAAAGACCCACAGTAAATGCACACAAACGCACTCAGAATTACGTTATCAGACAAAAACGCCCATTCTTAAGGGAACCGAGACATTTCRTGAAATATGCTCATGTTGCTTATATGAGAAGACTGATAGCATGTTTTATATCTGTCTGCTAAACAGAAACCAGTGCCAAGAAGATGGATAGCCTAGCTTAGCATACAAGATGGAAACCAGTCTGGGATGGGGGAAAAAAGTGGGGTAATTACACTGATGTTAGAAAGTTTATGAACTTTTTATCATTTTTTTACATGGCTGCAATTTATATATATATATAT